AGACCCTCGGTCTGTTAACGCTTGTTTTTTTTATTCTAGAAATCTGTAAAGGAGCTGACAACGTACCATTAGTGTTCATATTATTAAATTTATAGTTTGTTCACTTTGAGTAGCATGTGGTAACAAAATCATCAAACCAGATTTGGCGTTGAAACATTGTGTTGTTTGGACTTGTAGTGCACATAATTCAGCTGCTCAGTACGCCATGAAAGGAATCTGCCCACATTTGCTCCGTTTGAGTCGTGCGGTTGCTTTTTTGCTCAGCAGTGTGCATTGAATTATAGCTCACGAAGCGAAAGAGGATGGTTTTTAACTGCAGCTGTGTTCCTTCACGTTTCGAAGAGGGGAGCGCTGCTTTGATGCACAATACCTGGGCTGAGGTAGTGTGCATCCACGAGTGCTGAACAGCCAGCTGTTTCTGATTTATTAGTGTTTCTTTGTTGGCTGGAGTTAATGAAGGTGTTACAAAGTTGGTTTGAATGTCTGTATGATGGCACCTTTGGAAGCTACATGTGAGAGCTCTGGGTGTTCAAATCTCTTCATTTGTATTTGATTTAAACTCTTGTGGTCAGTGGTTTACTGTGTGTGTGCGTGCGTCTGTCAGTACATCTTATCTCTGCAGTGGGAAAACTGACATGTCACTCTGGTTATTCCTGAACCTGCTGGAACAGTTCATATAGTAGCAGGTGATGTCTTTTAAAAACCCACCAAACCACAGCCACATGTCCTAGTCACTCCATGTATATTACTCATCCTGGAGGCACGTACGCTACACACACGCACGCAAACGCACACTCAACCACACCATCTTTTTTTTTTTCCCCTCTTGTTTTTAAAAGAGCCGTTGAAGTTGTAAATTCACTCGTCAGCTCAGCAAGCTCCTCTGTTTATAAGCAGTGAACGTGAAGTGCGTGAGCAGTTAGTGAGAAGTGGGTATTCAAACTGTAACTTTGAAGTCATGTAACTGCTTTAGAAAAGTACATAAATGTTTTAATCGTATTTAAGTGAGGAAATAAAAAATTGTCCGTAGTTTCTTTTACACAAAGGACATATTGGGTGTACCGCATCTATAAGTAAACCCAGAGAGCATGCACGAGCCATGCCATACTAATAGCCAGTGCTTAACGGTCATAAATTACATTAGTTATTACAAATATATAAAAAATGTAATGTCATTATATTCACCTACAAATACTTAAAGGTAGGTAAAGTGCAATAAGGGGTTAACAAGTAATGTTTTTACAGGAAACAAAGAAAGAATTATGCTGTAATTTTAGGTAACGCGAGTCATTTTAGTGCTACTTAATGTCAGGTGTTTTACAGGAAGGGTGACAAATTATTCTGTAAGTAATTTTAAGTACTGCGTAATTTCTTGGTAATTTTGTGGTTAAACAAGCAATATTTCCCCGTCTTACATTGCAAGTAGTCGAGTAGTGGAGTCTTTTAACTTTACCTAACTTCCAGGTATTTTACCAGAGAGGAGACTCCGTTAAGTCAGACTCAGTGATTGTACAGTCGTGATTGCCTATAATAGTGATGGCATGTATTTTTTTTTTTCTTGTAAGTTAAAGGAAAACAGTCTTTATCGCATTAATATTGGTAAAGTAAAAGAAGAGTTGAATAAAAGAACACCGTGCACAGCAACATGGCGACTATTAAATAAAGATGTAGAAGGAGGAGAAAATGTTCTTGTAAGAACCTGACTTATTTTAGCAGGCCTGCCCTTAAATATTTACTTTCAAATAAAATAATTAAAATTCCATTTCGTTACAAGGATATTGCACAGGTATAAAAAGTGTTAATAAGCATGCTGCACTTGGCTATATTATGTTATCTTTTTCCTAGAAAGTTGCTTCCAAGTTATTTTCAGTCATCTGCTTGGAAGTTGTAAAGATAACATGTATTCCTGAGCACTAGTGTTTATAATCTGCTCTTAATCCAATACAGTGGAGGGTTCAAACCAGTTACATTTCTTCCAGTTTTCCTCTAATTCTGCCTGTCAGACTGCATCACTGCTCTGTCCATCTGCATGAAATGTCTGAAGTAGCTGTGTAGTTATCATTCCTGAGGTTTTGTGAGTTTAGTCTCAGTCATTTGATCTTTAGGAGTGTTTGTACGGCCTTTATCACAGAGGTGGTCCCTCCCTGTGGAGACTGCGTCTAGTTGCGTGTCGCAAGTTAGCCGCACTTGCATTAGGACCACGCGTTAACCTGCTTCTCTCTTTTGTCTCTGGCCTCATAAATATATATTTTTTTCTCCTGGGCTTTTTCACTGATGATTGACAAACAGGAATTTGATTTAGAACATGACAGGAACGTTAAAAGGCAACAACCTTGGTTAGTTTTATAAAGCCAACATGACAACTGACATTTAAGCTAGACAAAAAAAGAGTGTTTAAAATCAAGTTAAGAGGGGCTTTCAGAGGAACTAATCGTGAAAGGAAACTGTTTAATCAGAATGAAATGGTTAACTCCAGTTGTTTGTTAGTCATTGAGGAACACTCACTACTTATCTGACCTCTTTCTCATTCCCCCTAAGGTTCAGTTAGAGGTCCTGTGCCTCGCCACGACTATTTTTAAAGTAGCCTGAAAGCCAATCATTGGATGGACGGACACACACACAATCCCACAGGGCCTTAAACAGGTGCCAACTTCTGTGCCGAGAAGTGTGGTGTGGTGTGTTGTGGTGGGGTGTGTGCACGGGGAGTGACTGTCGACTGGTGTGGCAGGAATGCGTGACCTTGCCAGCCTCTGTCGCCGTTTGGCTTTGATCAAACATTCCTATGGAAGTTTCCTTGTGCTGTCACTGAGCCGCAGGGTAGTGATATGGATCGGTGTGCTTTTTTTCTTTTTCTTTTCTTTTTTTAATCTTGTTTTGTTTTGTTTGTTTGTTTTTAAGTTATTTTTTCGTTGGTTTTTTTTTTTTCTCCACCCTGTGTGTCCCTGAGTTTCATGTGAGGGGAGGGTGCAGCTTTGGGTGTGCAGTTAGCGCGTCCTGTCTGTGCCTGCGCAGGTTCTCCTGTATAACCCAACAGTCCAAATACTTGCATGTTGGGTTAACTGATGATTCAAAGTTGGCTGTGCACTTGAATGTAAGTGTGATTGCTTGTCTGACTCTCTGTGTTAGGTCTAGTGACCTGTGCAGGGTGTGTCCACCCCCCTACCCCGTAAAAGCTGACATAGGCTCCTGCCCTCAATGACCCTGAATTTGATAAGCAGTTAGGAAAATGGATGGATAGGCCAGTTTAGCCTTTGGGTTTAACTTGGGATTTAGCAGTTGGTAGCAACTATGGAAATAAATTTTTCACACATGAAAGCCGATGGTTCTCCTCAGTTGTAGCTGATTCTGGTCGGGCCTTAAACCGTTCCTCTGGCAAACAAAATATTTGATGTCATCCTTTGGTCTGGGATAGTGTCTTTTGTTTTCTGTCAGAAAAATCCATCTGTCCATGCGCTTAAGCAGGTTATGAGAGAATGTGTTAGAAAAATATTCAGTAAATTAATTCATAATGAAAAGCGTCAACTGAAGCTGTGAAGCTGTTGATATATACAGATAATCTCAGGTTTATTGAGTCTCCTGTGGGAGTTTGTTTTGACGAGGCCGGCGTTGGAGGGAGGATTGCAGAGAGGCCACGAAGAGAGAGGTTTGATGGATTGTTCTCTAGTGAGGTAAGAGATTGTTTGCACTTCCAAAAGCCAGGAGGACAGAAAACAGAAGGAACCTACTTGTTGTTTGATTTGTGGTGAAAATGTATTTTACAGTAGGAGACAAATTTATTATTTTTGGGGGGATAAGGAACAAAGAAGTGGTTCTTGATGGTGGTTAATAAAGCAAGACAAATTGTCTGATGAGTGCAAAGTGTTGTGGGTTTTTGTGAGGTGCTTGGTTAAGGAGAGAGAAAAGCCCCGGTTGGCCTAGGGAAGGGAAGTAGTAAAAAGGATTGTTCTTGATGAGCTAAGGAGAAAATAAAAAGCTTGTTGTGGATGTGTCTTTAGAGTTTTGGAATAAGGACAGGGAGAGTGTGTGTGTGTTGTGGGTTTGTGAAAAGCTTGTGGGTGCAGAGAAAGTCTTAAATAAGGAGACTGTGTGTTGTGAGAGCGTGGAAAACAGATTTGTTTGGGAGAAAGGAGACGAGGGACATTAAGATGAAAAGGTTTTTATAGCCTTCGGAACAGAGAGTGATTGTGGGTTTAAGATGATGGTTTCAAATGAGAAGGTCGGGTTGTGCGGACAAGGAGAGAGAAAGTGTCATGTTAGGACCAAGGAGTACAACTTAAAAATGTTCATGAGGGAAAAGAGTGTTGATTGACATGAGAGGACAGAGTGTGATAGAAGTATGAGGGGGGCCTTGGTTTCAGGACTGGGAAGCAGTCCGAAGGAGGGACAAAGTGATTGGCTGAGGAGGGAGGGGGAGTGTTTCAGGGCAGTAAGGAGTCTCGAGGACGTCTTGCAGAGGAGTGGACAAAGAGGCCAAGTGTGGATTGGCTGCGGCGAGAGTGTGTCTGGAGCTTTTCAGATCTTGAGGAAGCAGAAGAGAGAAAACAGCGAAAGAAGGGAGGGCTGGTAGGAAGAGGGGTGAATAAGAGGACAAGAAGGGAAGAAGGTGTCAGGCAAAGTCAGAGGGTAAAGACCGGGGAAAGTCTGAGAAAGCAGATGGAGGGAGAGGGACAGTGGGCAAAAGTGTGAGAAAGAAGTTGAGATTTACTGTGTGGGTAAAAGCTGTGGCAAATGAAGAGCTGACAAAGGAGAAAGAAGGAAGAGCGAAGAAAACAAAGCCACCAAGGAGGGCAGGGTGAGAAAATTAGAAAAAACAAAAACTCGTGGAATAAAGATTGACAGGGTCAATGAGAGGAAGAGCTGGTTAACAATTGACAAGTTTCTGCTGCCAGTCAAACGAAACCAGAATATCAACTGAGAGTGTGCTCTTTGTGTGGTACTCCTCCCTCTCCTCCTCCTCCTCCTCTTCATGCTGTTACTGGCCTTAACTGGCGGCGATTCACTGGGGCGCCACTACATCGCCATGTTCGAGGCCACGCAGAACGTCACACTTAAGCCCACAGAGACCTGGAGGGAAGCGCTATTGGACACACGTGTCATGGACCTCTTCTTCACTGTGAGTATCCCGTCCATGCTGGATCTCTGTTTTTCTTCTCAGAGCTCTACCAGCTTCTCAAAGTTGTATTTTATTTGAATTTATTTTGAAGTGTTTGATCCTGAATTTGAACCTTAAACCCTGATGTGAAGTATCATGAGTTCCTCTGCACACTTTCGCATGCATGAAGTTGTTACAGTAGCTTCTGATGAAACTTGTATAGCAATGGTTGCCTCCACCAGAATCACCACTACACCAGAAGACTTTTCCCCAAAGTTTTCATCCAAAACAAAGTCATTTTGTCTCTTTATTGTGTTGTTCTTGTCTCCTCCTTTCCTCTCCTGACCCCTAGAAGGCGGTTTATTTATTATAAGCAAAGAGAGAGAACTCGTCTTTTCATGTGGGGGCAGAAGGATTTCGTTTGACCGCCTCGTTTGGCACATCTTAAGTTTGCACTAGCTTTGTGGGTTTATTGAATGCACCATTAAGTAGATTTATGAGTGCTTTGCCGTGGGGTCGTGTTATTGTGTTACTGTCCAGAGGACCGCCCGGTGAAGTAAATGTGTATTTTTGTTCCGTGTGTTTTAAGAGACGGCCCACGCTGGCTGAGCACACAGTGCGGATGAGAGGATTGGAACAAACTGGTCAGCTCTTCTTCCTTCCAGCATCCATCTATGCTCACTGGCAGCCAGTTACCAGATACTGCTTCACTGTACAGCCTTTCAGTTGCCTGCTGCCATATGTGGCTCCTTCCTTTTATCTTCCACCTGTCCTCTATATCTCTACTAAACGCTACTGAAGCTGTGGGCTCTTTTGCAGACATACTGCCGAGAGCTGACAGGCTTCGATTGTTTAGTTTTTACAGTTGTGGTCACACATCAAGCCTCGAGGTGGCTAACTGGGAAACCCTGGATGGGTGACTGTTGATTTCTGCTTAGGTTACAGACGGTAGAATTAACATCTGCATCACCAGTGATCTGGACTCTGGCTGATCCCTCTCTCTATATTTTAGGGCATATAATACAGATCAGTGTTGTTGTGGTGCCACAGCTTATCTTGGGTGTTATTCTTTACAGTGTGCGGCTACTTCCAACATTTTACAGCATCGTGTCTCTCACTGGTTTCAAAAGCTTAACTATATCAGGAAAATTCCCCATATTCTAGATCTGAATCCAGTTTACGAGTTTTGAAGAAGAAACTGAAAAATCTGCAGAAATTATTTGATTCAATCCAGTGAACATGAAAAAATCTTAAGGGAACGTGACCACCAAAGGGACCCTCCCTCCTAATAATGGCATGCTTTTTTCTTTTTCTTTTTTTTTGTATTCATGTCAAGTCATCTGCACTTTATGCTTCCATCAGTTGAAAAGTTGGGGCTTTTTAAAAAAAAAAAAAAAATCAGGATTTAGCATTTGTCCACAATGCCAGAACTACTACCATATAGTTGAGTTTGAGTTGTTGTTGTTGTTCAGTGATTCACGTTAAGATGTGAAAAATGAAATGTCATAATTTATTTATTTGTGAATTATTCTGAATGCGATATTTCATTGGTTATATGTCTGCATATCCTGTTGGCCAGAGGTCTGAGTTATTCTTTCTCAGCTGCGACTACAATCCTGTCATTTTCCTCTGCTGTGTCTGGAGAGCTTTGTTGCTGTTGAACTGGTGAAACACTCATGTTTTGTTCATAAGCCCTCATTTGCATTGCCTGATAATTACCACTCTTTGACAGTCTGTCTTTTTTTTTCTTCTTCTTTTCTCTCTACACAGCAGAAAGTTTTCCCTCTGATTGTCACAACTTTGATCACAAAGAAATCACCATTAACTGTAATTGGCGCTAAGCAGTGGATGTAATCACAGTTTTCTTGTACAAATTACAGCAGCCTAATCAAGGACTTGATTGGCTGATCGCGGCCGTTTGGCTCGAATAAAAATATTTGTCGTTTTTCCGTAGCTTCTCTTTGCTGCTGGAATCTGCGGGAGGCTTTTTGCGTCGGTTTCAGTTGTCAGACCTCCCGTTTCATCTCTCGCTGCGGTATTTCTAGTAGCTCAACTGTTTGTTATTGTAAGGCTGCTGTGGAGATGTCAGCTGCCGGTGTGTGCGTGTCTGTGTGCGTATGTTGCACCATCATCCTTCTTGTGTTGTCTGCATTTTCATGTGTGTTGCTAACACACGTCCGTCTCTACGGGATTATGTCAGTTTGACAGTTTGAGCTTGTGCACTAGATGTTTGTGTATACCCTCTGTTTGGATCTGAGGTGTGTTTGGGTGTGTTTATTCACTTTAATGGGATACTCTGCTGTCTCAGCTGCTGTGTGTCCCTGAGTGGCAACAGGCTAAAGAGTGTCTGTGTGTGTCGAGGGGGGGTCTTGAAGACACGCGCCATCAGGGTCACAGTCCAGTGGCAGGATTAGAACCCAGCCCAGGATTAGGGGCCCCTGTTAACAACCACAGTAACCCAACCATAACACACACACACACACACACACACACACACACACACACACACACACACACACACACACACAGTTCATCCTCTTGCGAGTCTCCCTCTGTCTGTGGGTGGGTGCCTGTCAGTCTCCCTTCCTTTGCCCTGCTTATGAGTGCTGTGAGTTTAAAAAAAGAAGCTGTTGTGAATGCAGACAAAAAATATTAGTTGTTGATCAGAGACATCGCACATATTGTTGATTTATTTATTTTTGTTTACCCCCTAAGCTGTAAAAGGCTGATGGGGTATTGTCACCACAGTGGGCAGGCAGGCAAGCTTGTGAATCCCAGAACTCAAGAAGGAGGCAATGTACGATTTTCAAATTAATACCATAGGTCTTCGAGTCTCGCTAGCCTCAACCTCAAGGTCAGAGGTCAAGTTTTCTTAAAATCTTGTGAACACAATACATCAGGAATAATAATAATAATGGATTGGATTTATATAGCGCTTTTCAAGGCACCCAAAGCGCCACTATTCATTCACTCTCACATTCACACACTGGTGGAGGCAGCTACAGTTGTAGCCACAGCTGCCCTGGGGCAGACTGACAGAAGCGAGGCTGCCATATCGCACCATCGGCCCCTCTGGCCAACACCAGTAGGGTAAAGTGTCTTGCCCAGGGACACAACGACCAGGACAGAGAGCCCAGGGATCGAACCGGCGACGGTGTTTATATAGAAGGAGGAAGCAAGAAACACAAGCTGCCAGGTGATCACAAAGAACTTCCGCAGTCCTTCACAGTAGCTGAAACTTACCTTGAAAGAAAGGGTCAAACTAAAAATTAGTCTTTATACTGTGTGTTATAAACATCAGTTAAACTTTACAGAATGACTTCCTGGTTAAACTTTGACTTGCCTGGAATGTGGACTATAACAAATCTGACCTTAATGGGGACAGAGCTTATAAGAGTACGGATGGTTCTTTAGGTCAGTAATTACAAAAGTAATGTAAAGTAAAGTAATGTTAATAGTTATAAAGCTATGCAAATAAGGTCTAAATTGAACAGCAATAGATTGGAAGTAGCAGGTTAACTAAATAAAAGTCAAAGGCAGGCATTAAAGCAAGTGGCTTGAGTCAGTCTGTAAGTTCACTGACAATTACTAGAATGAATCTACAAACCAATGAGATAATACTGGAGGCAGATGATTAGTGACCACCCAGAGCAGAGGTTGAGATCTCCATTCTGGCTGAGAGGACGAGCACATATCTCAGAAGTCATCTTGATAATTATGCAGCGCGTCGAAGCAATTCGGCTGCTGAAAAGACGCTCAGTCCACCCAAGTGTCATTCTGGCCCCTTGGGTTTTTTGGAGAAAAGCACTTATCTGTTTTCTCGCTTTAGCTCGGGACAATTATGGCTGTGAGATTCAGGGAAGGGGGATGATGGATGAAGAGAAGAGGGTAAGAAACAAGAGATGGGAAGAAAATACAAACAGTAGGAGGAATGAGGGAAATGGGAAAGAGAGCGAGGAGAAAATTAGAGGAGGTGCAGGAATGGAAGGAGGTAATCTTGGTGGATAGAAAAAGATGGAGCAGACAAATACAATTTAGAGGGAGGGAATTGTGGATGCAATTTTCAGCAGTGAGAGAGGTTTGGGGATAAATGGGCTGCTGGAGATTGAAAGGAAGAAACCGCCACTGATTGCTCCTTCAAAATAAACGCACTCCACTTTTGTCGATTTTTAGCACCTCGTGATCACGGCGCACCCTGCCACTGCAACCGAAAAAGAAAGAGCAGAAAAGAAGGCAGCACAAAGGGTCGCGCACACAAGCGGAGGCACGTATGGTTTTGGCCCCCCAACTATGGATTTGTTGTTTGCTGTTTGTATTTTTAGTTTCAGTTTGCCTCCAAGTGTTTAGAGAGCAGCATCAAATTGTGATTATGTACCCTCGCACTAACATAAATCATGCAATGAAATCAGATGCATCTGGTTTATTTCATCACGAGTAGACACACACGCAGGAATAAAAATGAAAGCACAGGCACACAGCTTCACAAACTCACATATAATCTAATATTCCTTTTGTTCTTTCAAAACTTGAGACATGTATCCAACACAAATCTCTAGTTACATAATATCGAATTATTTCCTAGTTGATAAGAACAGTCGGTAAAGTTGCAGTAGTTAGTCGCGGTTGTCGTGACACGCTGGAGTTGGAATAGAAGAAGTCACGAGAGAAACAAAGCGATTACTCAGGTTTTTCCAACGTTGCATGGTAACATCTCATCTTTTCCAGCCTCTGTGGAATCTGGGAATCTCTAGGCACCGATGCATCACTAACCCACCAGCAGACCACTAGCCCAGCTCCCTATTGTGTTTTTTCAGGTTCACAACAAGCTGAAATGATATCAGGTTACATTGTTTGGCAGCAGTGATGAAGCCGATTTTAGCGTGTGAATTGTGTGCTCCAATCACATTAGGGAAAACGGTGACTGGGGACGGCAGCACAACCAAAATTACTGCAGCAGTGTGCAGTCGACTTGTGATCTTGTTTTCTTTGAAATGGATGCTTTAAAGACTGAGACCAGTTTG